AAAGAAAACACGTTTCACCCTTCTCAGGGATCAACAAAGGGCAAATTAGAGTCGCTGTTAACGAGACTGGAACGGAAGCGTCGGAATTTCGGAAGCTCCTGGTCATCCCCTGTCGAAAAGCTCTTTCAAAAATGGCCGTCGGTTGCACGGCTGACATTTCCCCGGCCGTTTATCGCGATAATACGGGTTTAGGTCAGAGGGTGTGGCCCCGCCAGATTGATTCGGCGAGCTCGCTTCTGCGCGCTACGCTTCGTTACCGCGGATAGCATGGCTGCTTTCCTTGTCACGGTTTTTCATCCATCTTTCTTGTCCCATTTGGCCACCGAGACCCGATAAACACACCGAACGATAAAGCTGTCGCTATATCGCCGTTGAATTCATCCGATGATTCGCTTTCGATAATTATGATATACGACACCCGAGCCGCGAACAAGCGTTTCCGTTTCACTCGCGCGTTCGATTCGATCCGTGAAACGTTTACCCGCTTTCGTTCGCGTTTAAACAAACTCCGTCCATAAGCACGCTTTCTTTCACGTTTCGCCTTTATGTGTGAACCCAATAACGCCTGGAAACGTCCGTCTCGAGGCACATATCGCGCTTAAGGGGCCATTCTACCTTGTATGCACGAAAAATACATGTTTTTTTGTGATTTTTTTTTGCGGGTTATTAAAGAGCGATTAATTCCGGATTTTGTAGATATGTTACAGTGAAACACCGAAATCTGGAGAATGTCGACTTTCACCGATGAATGTCAACAATCACATAGTCGCTTAGTGTATGTCCGAAATATTTGCTAAACACCCTTATTTCTGACTTACACCGGTAAATGTTGACATTCACCATGCACTAATGGTGAGTGTTGAACATGTTGGAGATTTATATTTTCTTCTCCGTAATTCAGTCGCTATAAAACGTCACAAGGGTGACGTAACTTTTTCGCCTCTCTTTCTGAAAGGATCTAACCCAGACCTAACCCAGACCTAACCCAGACCTAACCCAGACCTAACCCAGACCTAACCCAGACCTAACCCAGACCTAACCCAGACCTAACCGAGACCTAACCCAGACCTAACCAAAATCTAATCCAGACCTAACCCAGACCTAACCGAAATCTAATCCAGACCTAACCCAGACCTGACCCAGACCCTAGATTTGGGTTAGGTCTGGGTTAGGTCTGGGTTAGGTCTGGATTAGATTTCGGTTAGGTCTGGGTTAGGTCTGGATTAGATCTGAGTTAGGTCTGGGTTAGGTCTGGGTTAGGTCTGGATTAGATTTGAGTTAGGTCTGGGTTAGGTCTGGATTAGATCTGAGTTAGGTCTGGGTTAGGTCTGGGTTAGGTCTGGGTTAGGTCTGGAATAAGTCTGAATTAAGTCTGGGTTAGGTCTGGATTAGGTCTGGGTTAGGTCTGGGTTAGAAAAAGATCACGATTTACTGCAGTATCCATTTAGTACAAATTAGGGTATCGGAAAAAAAATTAAGAAAACGTTGCTCGCGTTATCAAAGCTTGCATAAGACTGACAAAGCTGATTGACTCCGAGCAGAACAAAGGATTTGGCGGGAGAGAGCCAGTCGCTTGTTTTTTGACTCTTCTGTTTTGGACCTCCACCAGAGCATATCTGTGATTGTCGACACACACCGGAGAGGGTCCGAATGTACAACAATGTAATGAAATATTCGATCTTTCACCGACGTATTTGGTATCTGTTGACATTCACCGGTGAAAGTTGACATTCTCCAATTTCGGTCATTCACGGTAACAGATACATTTATTATATATTTAGCTATATTTACGAATTTTTGCTACACATAATATCTATTGATTACGCTGTTTTTGTTGATCAACAAACAACAGTTTTTACGAACGGCGCCCGACTGCGTACGTGATATCTTGTGAACAAATTATCCGAAATCCAAAAACCAACGGTATTCTTAATATAGATGAGTGTGGTTATAGCATGAACTAGGATCTTTTCAAAAGAACAAAAAATGGCAAAATGGCAGCTATTTTACGAAAAAATACTGAATATTTTCATATATTTGGTTGCTTTTTTGTTAATAAAAGAAAAAGTATTGCAGATATCGCAATTATCCTAGTTCATGCTATAGGGAGACTAGTTCTAAAGATACTGTATAAATTTCCTGTCGATATCTTGAATAGTTTTTCCGTTATCACATTCGCAGTGCCGAAAAATGTAGTTTCGAGAAAAACAGCTTTAAAGTTTCACGTCCAGTTGTTATACCTACGCGCGGTACATTTCAGCAGGCTATAACTTCGTTAGTTTTCAGAATTTCAATTTAATATTTGGTAGATATATTTTCGAGACTACGTATTAAAAGACAATGCAAATAAAATTCGATTTTTTTAATCCCACAAAGTAGAAAGGCAACTTGAAGTTTTACGTCCAATTATATATCCTTGCGCGCGGTACATTTCAGCAGGCTATAACTTCGTTAGTTTTCCGAATTTCAATTTAATATTTGGTAGATATATTTTCGAGACTACATACTAAAAGACAATGCAAATAAAATTCGATTTTTAAAGTCCCACAAGGTAGAGAGGCCCCTTATGGAGAATATGGACGTACAATGTCTGACTAGAAGAACGTGTCTGACCCAATACTACTTGAAGTTCCTTAGAGGACAAACTACCATTGGTCGTTGAAAATGTTTGTACTATTTGGCGATGTTCTGTGTATTTTTCCAATTTTATTACAAAAATTTAAAACAATTTTGCCCCTTAAAAAGCATTCTCGCGTTCTCCGTGGCCCGTGTCCGTTCGAAAGGAACGGTTTTCTTCGTTTCCCGATGATCTCGGATTCTCGTGGATCGCAACGACACGCAGTCTGCTCGCAGGATGATTTCTCGCGATACGTTTCTACGAACGAGAGCAGAACGGTGTCGGTGGCGTTCAGTTCCTTTGTCAGCCGCGGAGGCCGCGATTGGTCGGAATAAAAAACGCTAGGCGGGTATGGTCGAGCGCGAGGCAAAACGCAGACAGAAACGTTTTTCATCTCGCGCGGCAACAGTTACGATGACGACGCACTATCTATCGACGGCGTGGGTGTTCGTTCTCGCTCTGACAGATTCGAAAACGCATTATTAACACCGACGACCCTGGGCTCTATGATTACGCGCATTAATAGCCGGATGGACGAACTTTGCTCGCGCTCCGGCACTATTATTATTGCAGCGCGAATCGAGAGACACGCTCGCAGCGAAATGAAACGAAAAAAAAACGCACGAGGGTAGACGCCGTGGAATATCGAGCAAACCTCCTCTTTGTTCCACACGAAATATCGACGAGATCTACGCTGTTCGTTTTTTTTCATGTCACCGCGAATTGGAAAGTTCCCGGAGTCGCGAGCAAACGCGAAAAGGTGTTTGTTCGCACGACGGACTTCCGGCTGTCCGGCTCGACGAGCGGTTTCCGTCGATCTCTCGAGAAAACGTAGCATTCGTCGGTTATTTTATCGAGGGCTGCGTCCGTACCCGCTTCGAGACGATACGCCATTTAAATATAATGTTTGGCGCGCAAGCGCGCATATCGTGCGCCCGTCGCTTGCATACTCCTTTTCAAATTGCATATCAGGTACGATCGAGTGTTGCGAGTATACCAATCTTCCGACGATGAATTATTCATTGTGTAAATAATTCATAAATCACACTATAAGCTCGCACGGACGGGGAGCCCGAATCGTTCGAAAATTTCCGCACGCGATTCCTTTTAATCGTACTCCCGTCGCTTTCGTCCGCGGCCTTTTTCGCTTCCGCGTATCGATGGAAAATTTCAAGCTCCGCCCTTCCGAACCCCGGTTTTTCTCGCGACGCTCGTTCCGCGTCGCCGGTGTCGCTCGAATGGAGATTCGCGGGGCACGGCGTCGTTGGCAAATTACTCCATTGTTCGCAGACGAATTAGTTACGAGTCTAGAATGCGTTCGACGGCCGAACGACCAGGCCATCGGGCACGGATCACCCTTTAAAAAGTCAAAATTAAAATAACGAAAGTAAAAACCTTGCAGAGGAACTTGAATAAATCCAACAGGTCGATCGACGTTAGTTTCTCACCGTGTTATTGGCAGTACCTCTCGATAATACCACGAACACATCGCTCTGCAATGCGACAGGAATTCTTTACAGCTCGATAACCGCGCATCAAGCATCGACGATCGCGCTTAAACATTCATGCTACGTATTCCATACCGTTTCATTCGATCCACGCCATAACGGAGACATCGCGGCGCGACGAGGACTATTTTCTGAACCGAATCTTCAAACCCGTGTTTCACCATCGATAGCGACGAAAATCGAAACTATGGGGAGGAAAGAACGGTGATTCCCTGTGGTCGAAGAAAGAGCGCGAAAGGGGCGTTGTGCCTGTTATATAGAGGCGCATTAAAATATTTACGAACGTTATGCGGTCTGCTCGCGGAGTTGGAGCATTCGTCGAGAGCGTGGCACACACGAGGGCGGCGTTGCGCGTGTACAAATCATGCAAAGAATGACGCTGCATCGGCTCCGCTCCCTCCCATCCTCGGCTCGAAATTCACCTCCCTCTACTTTTCTCTCTCCTAAGAACAGTTCCGTATACCTTGTATGCATCGTAGGATTCGTGCACGAGGCGTGGGGTGCAGGAGACCTCATGCTGCACAGCCCTCGAACGCGTTCGTTGCATATTAACCGAGAACAACGCGCAGTATGCCCTTTCGTGAATCAGCATACCGCAAGTCACTCGCTCGTTTACCTGTCCGCCTGCTTGCTTAACCTACTCCGGGGCTCGTCTTCTCGAGTATCACCGACATTCTCGATCGAACCATCCGTCTCCAGGTTTATTTTGCTCGAAACCAACAGCCATACTCTCTCTCCAACAATGGCACAAAAAAAAATATTTTGCTCTTTCCCGATCCGCCACGATACTTAAAGTCGAATAAAGTCACGAATAATTTTCGTTACAGTCCATCCGTTAGCTCGCGTGTATCTCGACCGTGTGCTTTTGCTTTCAGCAGACGTCGGACCTGGACACGCTGCTGTGTAGACAGGACCTAGACCGGCTGCAGAAACTCGACGAAGATGACCCGGAGAAGGACACGAGGGAGTCCTCGATGCAGATGGAGGACTTCTTCGAGGTCGGGGGCCCGGTGTGCCGGCCCCAGGCGAGCTTCGTCTCGGCGAGGAGTCAGCCAGCGGGTAACGACGACGACGTGTTCCTCAGGCCGCCCCTCTGGGAGGACATCACCTCCAGTATCCAGAAGCTGGACCCCGAGAACGCGGACATGCTCGGTTCCCAGTCTCACGTCAAGATGGAGACCGACGACGTGACGTCCCCTGTCCTCTCGCCAGTCGAGATCAAAACCGAGCCACTGCCGCCGCCCCCGACATTGCACCTACTCGAGGCGCCCGCCTCGAACCCGGTGCAGACGTTCGCGAACGGCCACCCGAATCCACCGACGGGGCCCCAGGTCGTCCACCATCGGACCGCCACGCCCGCGTTCAAGACCTTTCCCTCGAACAACAACAACAACACCACCAATAACAACAACAACAACAACAACAACACCAGCGCCAACAACAACAACAGCAACAACAACAATAACAACAACAACGACACCACGTCGAATCATCACGGGGGCGGGAACCAGGTCGCGGGGGCGGCCACGTCCCCGCTTTACGGCTCGATGACCAGGCTGATGTACATTTCGCCGTTGACGCCGCCGATCTCCGACCCCGGTTCCCCGATCGGGGCCCCGCCGAGACGGACACCGCCTCCCCCCTATCCCCAACCCTCCATCATGAATCCTGCTCACAGGATGCAGCATCCATCGATCAACACCAAATTCAACAGGCGGAACAACCCGGAGCTCGAGAAACGACGCGTCCACCACTGTGATTTCATAGGTGAGCGTTCCGTGGTTTCTCTATTTCTTTTTTGTTGCTGCCCACCCTGCGACGAATCGATCGCTATTTCTATATAAGGATTTCTGCATCGGTTTTTGCAGCGATCGATTCGGATAGAGAGGATTCGAGGTGCTCACGAGTGCTCGTAACCGTTTCGTTTTGCAGGTTGTACAAAGGTCTACACAAAGAGTTCCCACCTGAAGGCGCACCAGCGGATACACACAGGTGAGTCGATTTCGTTGCGCGGGCCGTCAGTGATTGTCGGGTGTGTAACGGTGGAAAGCGGTTTTAGGGGTAAACGGGAGGCAGGAAAGAAGGAACGGCCGAGGTAATTAGGTATGTAGCTCATCTACGAAGCGAGACGAAGCGTTTGAAAGCGCGAGGTCGAGCACTCGGCGTGGGCAGGGCGCGGTTCCCGCAGCCTCTCCTTCTTCATCTCTCCTCCGTTCGGCTTCGTTCAGCCTTCGTGTTTCCGTCTCTATTCGCGGCCTCTCCGTGCGTCTCCGTCTTTCTGCACCGTTTCCGTCTGTGCCGCGCGGTGTCGCGCAAAGGAGCCTCTATCATATGTAAACGTATAAGGAACGCACCGAGCGGTGGTATGCGACTCTCCGCTCCGTAGACTCGAGCTAGCGACCCACATCCTGTCCGTATCCAAACACGCTGCTCGCTAACGCGCTCGTACCTACACCTACGTGGATTTATACACGTCCACCAAAGGGTTCAGCTCCGCGTACGCGAATCTTCGTCGACGGACTCCTCCGTGGTTCCCGATAACGAGCCTCCCGATCCAGATTTACCAGGACGAACAGTACTACGAGTCGCGTTTACGAGCGAAACGGATAAGAACCGACTCATAGAACAGGCTTTTAGATTATTAACCGCGTGGACGTCGTACGCCCCGATTCAAGGAAGATTTATGTACCGGGCAAGAGTGCTCGTAACGCGTCTCGCTGCGAGATGGTCGGAACGATGCGCTTGCGCACGAAGAACGTATCAAAACTTTTAGCTTTAATAAAGTTAGCTTCAATTAGCCTGACCCCGCGGCGTGCCGGGCAGAAACACGTGTTCTTTCGTAACTTTCGAAGTTATGCTCCCGGTCGTCGGGATATTATACAGGCGTCACGGCGCGAAAACGTTCCAATTATCCTGCCGCCGGGATCTGGGAAAACTCGTGTAAATTAGGATGCGATTTCGTAATCAGGGTAACCGGGGAATTCCAAGGGAACGACGTTCCGTAGCTAACGAACCGCGACGTCGAAAGAGGCCACCGAACGATCGAAATCCCTGCTACCATGCGCCTTGGGATCAAACGAACACGCGGGATACGTTGGTATTCGCCGTTTGTGAATGACCACGCGCAGCAGCGCAGGCCGCTTAAACGGGTACGAGGAGAAAAAGACCGACGAGGAGTATACGTGAGCATCAACACGTTCAATTCGTCCATTCAGGATGCGTTCCCATTGGCGTACTTGCTCCCGTACACCAACGCTACCTTTATACCACCCGCGTATCGAACCACCACCAAATGTCCGCGCGTCAAATTCCATCTATCGTCCAACCGTTTATGCGTACACGTTTCAAGGGATGCCGTGGATCGTAAGAGACACTCGACAGCCACACCCCCCCTATTCAAACGCTATTTCTACCCTTCGATCGACTTTATTTCCATGGGCGACTTTAAAACTGTATTTCTCGTAAAGTGCAATGGGGCATCTTCATGTTTCGATTCGAGTTTACACCGATAATTACAACGCTCACCTCTTGTAACTTTTTAGTTTTCTGATATGTATTCGCAATTTATAAATACTTAAACAAACTTCAAACGGAGGTACGAAGGTTAAAAGACGGGGGAGGAGAAGGAGTTAAAAGAGTAGAAAGGAGGGGAATAACTGGAGTGAGGAACAGGAAACAGATAGAAGACAAGTAGAAGAAGAAAATAGAGAATTTAAAAATGAAAAATAGAAGATAAATGGTGAAATAGAAATAGAATAGTGAAAAGACCAACTAGCTGGTCCAAGCACCGTTAAATTTCGAATTTGTTTTTTGCCTTGTTTGTAAATTTCGAGGTATCGTGGAATTCGTTGGTTTGGGCGTTTTCATGTGCGCGGGAGAGTGCAGCGGCGCAGGTCGCGGAGATTCTTTGGGATTCGAACGGGCACATTCACCAGGTGAGGGAAACGGGCACGAACGTGGAGAAGCGGAGGTTCGCGCGAAACGCGTACTCTCGCGTCGGGAAGAACGCGATTCGCGATCCGTCCACGCGTGCCCACTCGGCAGCCGAGAAGCGGAATGCCAGCCAGAGGCATCTTAAGTGCGATGTACCACTTTCGAATTGATACCCCGAGGTTTTGCGGTGACCCGTGATCCAGCCCCGCCCCGTCGGACGCGATGCACACGCAACGGACGATGGAAACTCCGCGGCCGGCGATAAATTTTCGACGGGGATACGGTCCTCGATCGATGCACGCCGTTTAAACTTTTCCCGGCCGAACGGGATTCCTTAACCCGAGACTCGGATACCGCGCGTACTGCTATTATTTCCTGCTACTTTATAGTTGGGAATCGACCGCCAGACGGCAACGATATCTCCCTGCATCGGTTCTAACTCGATTCTTCTCAGCTTTGCTACCAGACAAGTCGAAATGTTTAATACAATTAACTGTGGGGTTCTCTTGAAGAAAGATAGAGACAAGGAAAAAAGAGGATTTCGTCCTGGGACTCATCAGTAAGTCATTCGAGCGCTTGCGAGAGAGCCAAGCGCGTAGCCCTCTGGTGGCAATTTTAATTTGTCCTCCACAGAGCACATTTCAAATTGAATATTTTTTTCCTCTACAACAGTGGGAAGATAATTAATTTAACGCGAATTCGGTTGATCAAAGTTCCAGGGTGGGGAATGATCGACTCCGAAAGAATTTAAAAAGACATTGAAGAGGATTTTTTCCTGGAGCTCATCAGTGAGGCTTTAGAAGTAAGTCGAGTGATTGCGAGAGAGCCAAGCGCGTAGCCCTCTGGTGGCGATTTTGATTTGTCCTCCACAGAGCACATTTCAAATTGAATACTTTTTCTATACGACAGTGAGAAAATAATTGATTTAACGCTAATTCGGTTGATCAAAGTTGAGAGAAAGTTTCAGGGAGAAATGATCGACTTTGAAAGAGTTTAAAAAGAGATTGATTTTCCAGGACGCGATCCCGACTAAATTCCCGATTGATCATCCGTAGCGTGTATACTTTGTCGGTATACGCGGCCGAACGCTATCTGATGTCTGTGCGTCGGAATCGTCCGGCGAATCGCTGCAGTTAATTTATTTCGAACACGAAGCACACAGTTGCTCTCGGAATTCCTTAATTATTGCCGCGTGTTTGGCCGAGTCGATAAAGGACTGGCGCGTACGTTTTAACGCGTTACATTAATCGTGGACCGAGATATGCGGCTGGGCTTATCGACTCGTTGGTCCCGCTTCCGCCAGGCTTGACGATCGAGAGCCAGCGCGTGCCTCGATCGGATTTATTTTCGTCTCCCGAGACATGGAAGATCGCTCGTGAACCGCCCGATTACCATCGATCGGCGTGATCGAACGGAATATTGAATTATGGCATCGTGTTTGCACCGCGTTATGTCGCATCAGTCATCCCCATTGTTTCCTGAAAGCTTCATCCATGTTTTTCTCTACTTTCTCGACCAAAAGTATCGCAATAAGCTCTTGCAGTACCTCCCAATCGAAATCGCAAAGATTAATACGTGCAATGGATTTAACCAGATAAGTTTAAGAGGTCGAATAACGATATAAAATTCGGGAACCGAAACATTCTCTGTTGCGTAAGAATCGGTGCTTCGGGATCGATGTTTACCCTTCTTGGATCGCACGATTTGTCGTGGGAAAGTCGTCAAGAGAAAGTCGTTCGGTGGGAATTATACATATATCGGTGCATTCTCGTCGCGGATCACAAAAATCCCAAATTTCAAAAATACTGTTCCACATGTATCGATGTGTCAATAGCAATTTCGATAAACTACCTATCGTTGTGTCGTAGCTCGGATCCAAACCGGTATTATTAATACCCCGCGATATACGATACGTGCACTTTCTTTATTTTTGGTATTAATATACGTTACGTAAAAAATTGTATAATTACAAAGTAGTTTCTCACGCTTGTGCTTAAACTGTTATAGAAAAATCAACAGATGGACAAATTTTTTGGCGGAAATTAAAAAATTTCGAATCCTTCTAAAAAAAATACCGTTGGTTACAGGGGTCAATTACAATCATTTTTTATCATTACACATACCCCCGAATTCCTACGCATTTTCGAGAAAAAAATTCGAGCAGGTATTGAACTTTTTAGATGAAATTAAAATATTTAAAATCACACTAAAAAAATTATATTTAGTTGCAGGGGTCAATTGCAATCATTTTTTATCATTACACATACCCCCGAAATCCTACGCATTTTCGAGAAAAAAATTCGAGCAGGTACTGAACTTTTTAAATGAAATTAAAATATTTAAAATCATATTAAAAAAATTATATTTAGTTACAGGGATCAATTGCAATCATTTTTTATCATTACACATACTCCCGAAATCCTACGCATTTTCGAGACAAAAATTCGAGCAGGTACTGAACTTTTTAGATGAAATTGAAATATTTAAAATCACACTAAAAAAATTATATTCAGTTACAGGGGTCAATTACAATCATTTTTGGTGAATAGACATACCCCCAAAATCCTATCCACTTTTTAGGAAAAAATTCGAGAATGTGTGAAATTTTTCGACGAAATTAAAATATTTAAAATCATGTTAAAAAAATTATATTTAGTTACAGTGGTCAATTACAATCATTTTTTATCATTACACATACCCCCGAAATCCTACTCATTTTCGAGAAAAAAATTCGAGTAGGTACTGAACATTTTAGATGAAATTAAAATATTTAAAATCACACTAAAAAAATTATATTTAGTTGCAGGGGTCAATTGCAATCATTTTTTATCATTACACATACCCCTGAATTCCTACCCACTTTCTAGAAAAAAATTCGAAAATGGTAATGGGTGTCTAGGGACCCAAAATAAATTGCATGTAAAGTGTAAGGTTTAAATGGCTGGTGGAAACAGAAGGGGCAGAACGCGACTGATTTTTGAATCGAAGCGATGAATGGTAAAGGGAAAGGCAGTGGCGTAGTCGTCGGGTTGAGAGCCTCGGGCACGTGGCGCTCGTTC